CCGTTACGAACGAAAAGCTCCCACTTGTTTTTCCTTGAATTATAGATGTTTAGTCAAACTCACATTCCGTCCATGGACAAGCCGTTTTCCAGAAAAAGTGGAACGTAAAAACAGACAGACAGACTCACGACGGAGACATCGCCTGACCCCTCATTGACTTGGACTGAGCTTCGCTCAGCGACAACGCGGCAGACCGTCGGCCACGAACCTGCTCGACTCCAGGCGCGGAAAAAGTAAACAAGTTATTCTTCTTCGGAAGTATATACCAGCAGGAGGGGCTGCCTGAAATATAAAGTCCACTTTTGTAGGCCCGCAGTGGGCGGGTTGCCCTCTTGCCGTTCGGTCCGGGGCTGTCAGGGCGCCTAGTCAGAGAGGATAGGCAAACCCGCAAGCACGCTATGAAGTGCGGTACAGTATAACTACGGAAGCGGACGGGGCTTTCGTGGCAGTGTTAGGCCGTTTATAGGCAACTCGCGACGATGGACGAAGCTGTGTATAATATACCCCCCCCCCTCTCTCTCTCTCTCTCTCTCTCTCTCTCTCTCTCTCTCTCCTCTACTTCTCTCGGGCCCACGCGCCGGCTGGACCGCCGACCCCCATTATGCACTTATACTGCAGCAGTACGCTCCGATTCCGGCTCTTGGAAAAATTACAGGGGGCTGGGTCCAGGGACACGTGACAAAGCGCGTCCACCTCCCACTTGGCCCGGGCCCCGCGGCCGCGCGCCCCACTCCGGTGCATCACGCTCTAGTCATATCACATCCGAGAACAATGGACGCTCGACGCCTCCGCCGCGCCTCTCGCCTCCAGGCTCTGCTAACACCTGCCGCATACACGCCAGCCAGCAAGTTCACTCGAAAACAACGAAACAACATTTACTACGAGGCAGTTCAAATTATTTGTTCTGGTCATTCGATTTGGTGCAGCAGTACGACACTAATTGTTTTCCTTCTCGTTTGTGCAATTGACGAAGCGTCGCAGATACGCCCTTTATTATTATTAGTCTGTTGAGATGAGCCCTCATTATAATGAAAGTTTCCCGCTGCACTCGTGTGACAGGCTTGACACTCAGGAGTGACGCTTGACTAATAGCTCGCCTCTCTCAACGCTCCCACTCCCACTCCCACCCCCTCTCTCTCTCTCTCTCTCTCTCTCTCTCTCTCTCTCTCTCTGCCATACGTTGTACAAGTGTCAGAGAAATTATCAAAGGGCTAAACTAATTCAGCAATTAAGGCGTCCCGGGTAGACAGACTATACTCACTCGCGCCCTCCTTTCAAATGGGCACCTTGAGCAAGGTAAAATTACTATGCCGGGTGAGGGCGAGGGGGGCGGGGGGCGGGAGGAGGAGCAGGTCCCCGAAAACACAACACGAACGGGTGAGCAATAAGAGACGAGCATCTTCATCACGGCTAAGCGGACGCAACAGTCAGTCAGCCGGCCTCTTACTGCTACTGCTTTGGCCGTTCCGGGCAGCAGTGATTACAGCTCAGCAAGAGGTCGCCCCGAGAAAAAAACCACAAGGTAAACCGAACTGACGCTGCTGGGGGTCACGTCATGGTCCAGAGGCAGCGGGTGCGGCCGGCGGCGCCTCCCTCATCGCCACATGGTGGTGTTATTTGGACGCACCTTCTAAACCCACCGCGTTAGAATAACAGCCCTAATGATAATATTAATTTAATACGTAGTAGTAATTTTGCTTTGACGGATCAGAAAGCTCCTGCTCCGTGTCAAAAACTCAAACCAGTTGGTCATCACTTCGCTAGCACGCTCGTTTACTCGCTCGCTCAGAGCGGTAGGTTTTACGCTAGTGGGGCAAACATTTATGTAGCCCTTTTGTAATCCTCTACCTTAAATCACTCACTCACTCACTCACTCACTCACTCACTCACTCACTCACTCACTCACTCGCTCACATGTACTCCACGGGGCTCGGGTGACGCCGGCCGCTGCTCTGCTGAAGCCTTAGCCGCAGAGGACACGGAACGACGTAACTATCGAGAAACGCCCAGGCATGAAGGCGGGCACCACCGGGCACCACACCGCAGCCCTGTGCGCGCGCTATGCGTCCAGGAGGCGGTCGAGACTGGAGCCGGACTACCGCAGCGACGACCTTGCCGAGGACGCGTGGCGCTATAAATATATAGGTAAAACTGGAAGCCTGGTTGTAATAAAATACGGGGGAGCGCCTCTGTTTTAAAAAGCAGGAGAAGCCGTGACTGCTAAACACTGCCAACTGGTACCAACTTTAGGTGGTAATTAGGCATAGTGCATATTGAATTCACGCGGGCGGGTTAGGCCTATAGTTATTCTCGACCGTGGTGCTTTACAGCCGGCAGCCCCCGGGTGTGTAGGCACCTACCCTCACACGTGCACG